TGGAGAGAAGAGGAAAAGCAGAGGGAAGAAGAAAAAGACTGAAAGCATATATTGTTCGCTTAGAAAAAAGAATTTTAGGGGAGGCCTGGTGGCAGTTCAAGAATGTTCACTTAGTTAGATGACTTCTAAACTGGAACTTGCCTAAGAAGCCACACTGCAGGGAGGAGAGGGAGTTGGAACTGCAGTTCTCTTCCTTTAGCAGCCCCTCCATCCAGCCTTCCGCATAGCAGGCTGGTGAGGTATTGAGCAGCCCCTCTATTGGCCCCACACCCAGTTTTCAGAAGTTAAGTTCATTCTACAGGTCTCTAAAGGCTTCAAGGAAAACCAAATCTTTCCATTGTTGGCCTGGAAATCAAAGAAGATACTCCAAATCATCACCATTCAATAAAGCAGTGACTTACTGAAAGAATTACAGTTTACTAGCAAACCCCCCAAATGAATCTCTATGTTTAATACATGCTTAACCTCCTAGTCTGAAGATAGCAGTATTCCACATAATTGTAGGCTCCAAGATATCACTTAGTGACTTCTAATTTAGGAAACATATGCCCTAGAGAATTCCTCCCATTATACACACACACATACACACATGTATATTTGTATGTGCAAACATATATCCTACATAATAAACGACTGTTTTAAAGCCACACTAGGTTACAAAACAATACAATGAGTTAACTTAAACTATGTCATATTAAAATCTGGGCATGAACACAACTAGAAAGGAAGCCTAATTCATACCAGAAAATATCAAAACAAAGTCTGGTAAGTATCTAGCTAGTTAGACAGTCTCAAAGCAGTAGCTTCTCATTAGCATTGAGAAATAACAATCTGAGTGGTATGTGAATACCTACTGTGGAACTGGTACTGGATGTTGTATAAGCTGGGAACAGATGCCTCTTAAATTCAGTTTGTTGCACTATGACAGGGTTCTACTTTAATGACTCATCTTTTCCCAGTTTATTCTTTTCCAGGAAAAGCTTTCTATGCACTTGCATAAACAAATGCAACTCTTCTTGTCATTTTCTAGTTCCTTTTTTTGGGAGAAAGGGACACTTAGAGCTTTTTTTAAAAATTTAAACAGCACCAACCTTCTGACTGATGAAGAAATAGAGGGAAATTGAAATGGGAGAGTAAAAAATCAGGCATATAGGCAATCCCTTCCCTGGTAACATTACAGAGTATACATTAGTATTCATGATATTTTAGTTAGGAGACAAAATCTCCAGCAAAAGAATCACCACACAACACTGTGTCAGGCTGTCTATCACATCTTTCCTACCACTTCCTTGCATAGAATCTGTAATCCAAACACCTACCATGGCCACCTCTCCAGAATGGCCCCACTGGTCTTGCTCCTTTTCCTGGGACAACAGCCCAAGTCCCCTCTGCATCCTTACTGCTCAGAAGCAAGACATGAACATTTTGTTTGAGGCATTCTTGAAGAAAAAGGATGATAATCTTGTAATATGAGGTATCTCCAAGTTTGTGTTTTGGGAGGGAGAGTGGTATAAGAAGACACAATTGCTGGATAATTCTCAGAAGCCAAACATAGAATTACCTATGATCCAGCAATTCCACTTCTGGGGACATACCAATGGAACTGAATGCAGGACCTCAAAGAGATATGTGCAAACCCATCTTCACAGCAGCACTAGTCACAACAGCGAAAAAGGAGAAGCAGCCTAACTGTCCACTGATGAATGAAGGGATACAAAAATTTGATATATACATACAAATATGTTTGGCCTTAAAAAGGAAGGAATGTTTGACACGTGCTAACAACATGGATAGACCTTAAGGACATTATGCTAAGTGAAATAAAGCAGAAACAGAAAGACAAATACTGTATAATTCTACTTATATGAGGTACCTAGAGAAGTCAAATTCATAAACACAGAAAGTAGAATGGTGGCTACCAAGAGCTGGGGGAAAGGGAATGGGGAATTATTGTTTAATGGGTGTAAGTTTCAGTTTTGCAAAATAAAGCGTTCTGGAGATTGGTTGCACAATATGAATATACTTAACGCTACTGAACTGTACACTTAATGGTTAAGATGGTAAATTTTGTTATGTGTCCTTTATCACAATTAACCCCCCCCCAAAAAAAAAAAACCTATAGTTCTTAGTATTTCCCAATATGATGGTGATAACAATAATACCTTACAAATGCCCGGGAACTTCTTTCAGAGAAATCCAGAGAGCTGGGCCTCCAGGTTTGTTCATGCCAACTCAAAACGATACCAAGGATGAGTTCAGTTGTAAAAGTTGTACTTATCAGAGTTTAACTTTCTTTTCCCCACTAGCATGAATGTTTGGTATATATCACCATTTATCCCTCTGAAACCAGGGTCACCCAGACATCTGTCTGTGGATGTCGACCCGCAGTGCCACTCTGGTATTATCTGGGATTCAGGGAGGAGAGGCCTGCCTATGTTGAGGAAAAAGAGAGATTTGTGAAGTCAGCCTCATTCATCTTTTACTTAGAGAGTTAAGGAATGTGTCCATACTGTTCCTCCCTACAAAATTCACGATTTTTTCTCCAGATTAAAGGTGACTTCACCTCTTTCCACTTTGACGTTTAAACTCAACTCAGTATTCAACTTGGCAGTCATTCCTATCTAAAAATTACACAAAAGATTAATACTCCAGGTGCTCTCTACCACCCAACAGGATCTGTTACCTTCTGCCATTCTGGGTCTCCACTCGTTCTGTCAGAACCTGGGGATCAGAGGTTTTATATAATGATGGCACTTTATAAACCATTTTTTGCATCTCAAACACAAAGGAACACAGTGCAGAGAAAGTGGAAAGATGGGGAAGGGGCTGAGAAATAGGAAAGAATAAGGACCCACAGAAGAAATACAAACAGCTTTTGGAAGGATGCATTTACAAAAATGACATCAGGCAGCTGGGTGCAGTGGCTCACGCCTATAATCCCAGCACTTTGGGAGGATGAGGCGGGTGGATCACCTGAGGTCAGGAGTTTGAGACCAGCCTGACCAACATGGTGAAACTCCATCTCTACTAAAAATACAATACTAGCCACGTGTGGTGATGCATGCCTGTAATCCCAGCTGCTTGGGAGGCTGAGGCAGGAGAATCGCTTGAACTGGGGAGGCAGGGGTTGCAGTGAGGTGAGATGGTGCCATTGCACTCCAGCCTAGGCGACAAGAGCAAAACTCTGTCTCAAAAAAAAAAAAAAAAAAAAAAAAAAGTCATCAGGCCCATCTGGAAAGTATTCTAACAAAATAAAAAGATAAAAAGTCCCTTTCCACTCTGAGCAGCAGATTTTCAGAACATAAGACTTCTGGAACAGCAAGGCTGTACAGCCAACTAACAAAGCAAAACAAAACTGAAAGAAGAGTTCCTTTGAGGAATGTCCAGCCACTGCGAAGTTGTAAGCCTCTTCCTGGTACTCAAGGGCAGTACCAGGTACAAGAGGCCTTCCTACTGCAGTTCCCATGTGCATGTCTCTTACAAGCATTTGTGCAAAGTGCTCCAACCAGCGATAAATCTAATCTTCCCTCCATCCCCCCACACCCGTCGACAATGTGGGCTGGCTCTGTCAGAGCTAGCACAGGGTTTCTGAAAACACTAGGGCTGATATGTCTAGCTTAGAATCTTCCCTTATTCTCTGTCAGCTTCCTCTCCATTTTCTTGCACAACTTGGTAGTAAAATGTGAAAAAAATGTGGCAATTGGAAGACAGAATCAACCATGATTTTTCTCTTTCATCGCTGTTCTAGTTATTTGGCATTACTGGAATATAAACAAGTGAGTCCAGGAGCCCCTCACTCCTTCGTTGTTTATCATACAGATACATTTTACAACACTTTGGGCTGGAATGAAGACATGAAACAGGAAGTTCCTGATCTTGCTGTCCTCTCCTCCTTATCCTCCCTGTCTCAGTTAACACATTAACACAATCAAAGAAGCCGTCTAGTATGTTTCCCAAAAACACCCAGAAAGAGCTCCGCAGCCTCTCTGGCTAACCCGTCCTAGAGCCGCACAGCAGTCCAATAATGTAGGAACCTCCTTTTCTTAACTCGGAGTTGAGACGTTTTCTTTTTCCACATACAGGTCTGAAAGCAGCAGGCCACTGCATAATGAAACTATCCCTCACTGGCCTCAGGAGGAATAATCTTGGGCCCTTTCTGTTTCTGGACTGCTGCTTCCCAACCCACTAGCCATCTTTCTGGCTCTTTTGCAGACTCTTCTCTAGGAAGCACAAGGCTGAAGACATAAAGCTCTCGCAACCGTCACACCTCACGGCCTCTTCAGGGCCTGCTTAGCTTTTGCTCTGGGCTGTGCCTGCTTCTTAAACTCTGGTGCCGGGCAAAGGATTTCCTCGTCTCATGTTTAAGCTGTCCCTACTGCTGCTTCTCTACTCCTGTTTTGTGTTAGTAAAAGAAGGAAGGAAAGAAAAGGGGGAAGGAGGACAGTAGAAAAAATAAAAAAAGGAAACTTAAGAGTTTATAATGACATGAGATATTATATTAACATTAAATACAAGCCAAAAGATGAGTTTTATGAGATGAAAATTCCACAAAACAACAAACTTTTGCATATAACCTTGCAAGCACGTTTTTATGCACAGTTTTTCTGTATTTTCTAACACCCTTTGAATGCACCACACGTCTGCAAACACAGGCTGATCTGTCCCATTGCACATTTACACTAACAGGTAAAAATGACAAGAGGCCTAGCTGAATTCCACGAAATAAGTTATTTAAAGAACATCTGAAGTTTTGTTCTTTCAGAAGCAGAGAAGTTCTAAAACACGGAAGCAAGAGATTCTGAGAATTTCATTTTCACCATAATGGCTCAATGTTTGTTCCTCTAACAATGTGCAGTTAACAGCTGTGCGCTGGCTCTTACATTCAAAGCCAAAAAGCAAGTTCTTCACATTAGAGAAATCATTAAAGACAGTTCAAGGAAAGAGAATTAGGTATTTTAGAGTGGCTATGAAAAGTTTTCCAGGGGGGAAAAAGCACTAACCTGTGTTGTTTTAATCTGCTGAAAACAACCAAGTTCTCAAGTTCCCCTTCTGTCTTCTAGCCAGTTTCCTGTAAATGTTGCATGTGACATTATACTTCCTCACTGCACCTTCTTTGACTCGCCTCCCTAACTGGTCAGAGGCATGTGATAAGATCAATTTGCTGCTTGCTTCACATGGGGGTAACCCTGTGTCTGCGGAAATGATTGTCTCCCCCAGCTTGTTTTGAGTGTTCCCAGGACACAGGTAAAGAGGAGATAAGCCAGGGGGAAGTCATGCCTGGACTCCAGGCACTCCTGACTCCAGAGGAAAGTGAAGGGGGAAGGGAGAGATAGTCTTGAGCCCCAGGGCTCAAGGGCTCTTGAGGCTGGAGTTGAGCAGCTGAGAAGGGGCAGAGCGCTCACAGAGGAGCCTGGGGCTTGGGTGCTCTGCTGTCATTAGGTCAGCCCGTGGGAATGCCACCCTCAGGGCAGCTGAGGAAGGGCCCTCGATGGTGCTGCACCCAGGATGTCCCCACACTCCTCTCTGGAGGGCACCACCATCAAGGGAGCACACTCAGGCCTTGGTTCATATTTCTGGATCCTGCATCAACCATGGCTACACACCCTGAATTTCCTGGGACTCTCTCAAGTTCACATGTGGTCATGCTGTCAGACAGTGTGCCCCAACTGTTGGTTCAGAAAACAAAACCAATGTATTCTCAGCCTTCCAGGGCTAAATAACTGGGAGACATTTCCCTCTTGCTGACCTCCAAAATACACCAGCCTTTTGGTTTCCCTTGAAAGAGCGGGGTATCATCTTCCTCCGGAATGGAGCTGGGTTCCTGGCAGTGTGTGAGTCCTGGCCATGGGGGCTCTGATGTTGGCCCGACAAGAGCACCAGGAGAGTGCCAGCTGTGACCCTCTCTGCCCTGTACAGCTGGAGAGGCTGGAGGAGAGCTGGCGCAGGGACTAAGCAACAAGCCCAAGGGCACCATTTCTTGTTCTGCTCACTGGTGCCTTCTGTTTCTTTTTGTGATTCCCCTAGCCATCAGGAGGGTCCAAACATACTGGAATTTGTGGATATAGGAAGTTGTGTGTGGCAGTCAAATGATCTCCTGGACCAAGGGGAATATTCCACAATTTGTAAGACTTGACTGCAAAAACCCCAAAGTTGTTTCTATTTGGCTACCTTGGCATGATTGTTTTTTAAAAAATGTTTTTAAAGGGATCTTTTTTGTTTTTTAGAAAGGTAACTGTAGACATACTCCAAGTCTTGAAAATATTACCCTACAATTCCCTGATGAAGTTTTCCATGGGAGAATACTGAGTAAGGAAACCAGTCCTGGGACTCAGAACTGTGGACAACAGTAAAACCCTGAAGTCTCACCACATGATTGCACTTCTGGCTTTGAAAACACACATATCTGTTTTTACCATTTTGACAGCTGATGGCTGGTTTTCTGATTGAATTGACATTTAGATTAGACAATTGAGTCAAAATGGCTGTCCGAGCTATAGACATGGCATTAGCTTTAAAACAGGAATAATGGTAAAATTTTGCCATCTTGGAGTCAGAAATTGCAAGAACTTTGGAAAAACAAAATACTACATAGATGAAAAATGATGATGACTCAATTTGAATGTATTTAGAAGTCTCACATTCTGGGTTAAGCTGCCAGTTCCATTTTTCAACTAAGCAGCCGCATATGTTCTGCTTAAGCCGTGTTCTGTGTGGAATTTTTAAAGGCCTTAATAAAATGCTTTATAATTTTCCATTAAAATCCCTAACCTGGCTTTCTGTCCATGTTTTTTTTTTTTTTTTTTCCTGGTTAGGCATTTAAAAATTTTAATACACTTTATATTTCAGAACAGTTACAGATTTATAGAAAAACTGAGAAGACAGTACAGAGTTCCCATATATCCTACGCCCAGTCTCCCGTATTATTAACTTCTTAAATTTAGTATGATACCTAAGTACCAATTAATAAACCAATAGTGATACATAATTATTAACTAAAGTCCACGGTTTATTCAGATATCCTTAGTTCTTACCTACTGTCCTTTATCTGTTCCAGGATCCCATCCAGGACTCCACATTACATTTAGTCATCGTGTCTTCTTACGCTCCACTTTTCAGGCTTTCCTTGTTTTTGACAACCATCACAGTTTTGAGAAATACTGCTCTGGTATTTTGTAGAATGTGCCACAATTGCGATTTGTTTTTTCTCTTGATAAGACTGGGGCTATGGGTTATTTGGAGGAGGTAAAGTGTCATTTTAGTCACATCGCATCAGTTATATGTACTATCCACATGATTTAATACTGCTGGTGTTGGCCTTGATCACCTGGCTGAGGCAGTGCATGTCGGGTTTCTCCACTGTAAAGTTGCTCGTTGCTTCTCCCCACCTTTCCATATCATACTCTTTGGAAGAAAGTCCTTCGGGGTAGAGTGTCTATATAAATTATTTGGGATCCTTCTGCATGGAAGATTTGTCTCTTATACACATTTATTAATGTATTCAATCATTTATTTATACCAGTACGGCTGCACAGGTATTTATTTTATGCTTTGCATTTTAATTCAACAGTACTTTATTCTGTTGCTCAAACTGTTCCAGCTTTGGCCACTGGGAGCTCTTACCATTGGTTTCTGTGCTCCTTTGACATACTCCTATCAATATTTTTTTCTGTTTTGTTTTTAAGTACTTCCTCACTTTCCAGCACTACAAGATGCTCCAGGCTCACCGTGTACAGTACCTCCCTAACTGTTCATGATTTTGGTTTCTTTTTTTGTTTTGTTTTGATAAAAGAATACAAAAATAAACTGATGGGCCTGAGAAAACATGTCTTCAATTTTAATTAGTTCTGCTCATGTGTACTAATAAAAAATTTTGTTTAATTACTTTCATAAAATTAGTCCTACCTGGCCGTGTCTACCAGCTGCAAAACACCATAATACCAAGTGAGTGGAATTCTGCACTGGCTTAATCCCAAGATACATGGCTGTGCTGGTACTGTTTTTTCCCCACATATTTTAACATTCCTGGAATCGAAGTGTGCGTTTAATGTCATGTCTTTTTTTCCTCCTTACCTGTTATTAATTGATGTTACACCTTATAGTTGATGGTGTTCTGAGAATGGAGGAAATAGATCAGTCAATTACTTTTTGTTTGGACTAAGATATATAATTTATTTTCACTGAGTTTTTTCCCACTGAACAAATATTTTGACTAAAGTAGTTTGATGTATAGCATGTGGAGACATTAAAAAATTCCAAGGTACATTCTACTACAAACACATTCTAACTTTACCTCAAGCTACAAATTCTCATCAAGTCCTAAATATAGATAAAATACAGATATTGATATAAATTAAAACGGGGGAGTCTATTTAATTTCATTTTTAAAATTGACATTGTAACTGTACATATTTATGGAGTATAATATGATACTTTGATACATATGTATATTGTATAATGATCCAATCAGGGTAGTTAGCATATCCATTAACTCATGCATTTATCATTTATTTATGATGAGAATATTCAAACACCTCTCTCCTGGCTATTTTATAAAATACAATATTTTACCATTAACCATAGTCTCCCTACTGTGCAAGAGTGCACCAGAATTCACTCCTCCTATCTAATTGTAACTTTGTACCTGTTGACCCCATCTTCCCCTCCCTCCCCAGTCTCTGGTAACCATCTGTTCTATTCTCTGCTTCTGTGATATCAACTTTTTTTTTTTTTTTAAGATTCCATATATGGGTGAGAGCATGTGGTATTTGTCTTTCTGTGTCTGGCTTATTTCACTTAATATGATGTCTTCAGGTTCATCCATGTTGTCACAAATGACAGGACTTTATTCATTTTTATGCCTGCATGTATATATACACCACGTTTTATTTGTTGGACATATCCAACTGCATGTACTAGAATAAAAACAGACACATAGACCAATGGAACAGAATAGAGCCCAGAAATAAATTCATGCACTTACACTCAACTGCCATTCAACAAAAGTGCCAAGAACACATACTGGGAAAGAGAAACTCTCTTCAATAAATGGTGCTGGGAACATTGGATATCCATATGCAGAAGGAAGAAGGAAGGTGTTCAATTCTTTTCTGGGTTTACTGACTCCTTTTGTGTTTACTCTATTACTTTTCCAAGATCTCATGAGTCCATTATCATGCCTGAGCAACCTAATATTGATGCTGAGGGGTTGCGAGATGGAGTTTCAGTATGGCTGATGAGGAGCAAATGTGCTGACTGGTCAGCAGGCAGATCCAAAGCTCTCCTTGCTTCTGTTTTCCTACTGAGACAGACAAGTAAGTGCACAGTGGTAGGACTGGCCAGGAGTCCCCTCGCTGTGGCCAGGATTTTCTCTCCAGCTAATGAACCACTGTTATTTTGGGAGCATGATGTTTTATAGATTTTTTTTTCTTTTAAAGGACAGAGACTAATTCAACCATTTCCCACTGGCATATCTTACAAATGGTCACAGACAAAATGCCCAATCTTTTCATCCAGGAAGGCAGAACTTGGCTACTCTAAATACTATTTACTGTCCCACTCCTGTATAAAGTGTACCAAAAACTGATAGTGCCTTAATCATCTCACCAGTACCCAGAAAGGACTGGAAGAAATGCTGCACTGACTTTTTTCAGCAACCATTTACCAAGCCTGTATCCCATGCTTTGACATTGAGCTAAGTGCTTTATATACATATTTTCATTTAACTCTCATTATAATCTTGTGAGGTAGGTATTGTGATCTCCCCTTTACAGACAGAGTAATCAAGCTTTATGTGGTTAACTAACCTCTCCGGGGTCTCTTGATAAGTCTGAAGCCAACATACAGGTTCAGTTCTATCTGTGCAGAGACTCAGAGCCTAACTGCTACTCTTTGCTATAGAGAGATTTACCATGCTATAGATAGAATACTAACTGCTATACTCATAAATGACCACTTTATTGAATACAGTCCTATTCTCTATTTTCTGCACATGCCTTTCACCTCAACCAAACCTAAGATGCAAGGAGGGCAAGGATAGTGTCTAATACCCCGTTATCTCAGCTTTCCATTCTCACTGCAGCAGCTCTCCTGGGGACCCTGCATTCTTGCTTTACTGTCAACTCTAATTTTCTTCTGCTTTATCTTCATTATTTCCCTCCTTCACTTTTTATTTTTTTGAGATGGAGTCTTGCTCTGTCGTCCAGGCTGGAGTGCAGTGGTGCCATCTCGGCTCACTGCAAGCTCCGTCTTCTGGGTTCACGCCATTCTCCTGCCTCAGCCTCCCGAGTAGCTGGGACTACAGGCACCCACCACCACGCCCGGCTAATTTTTTGTATTTTTAGTAGAGACGGGGTTTCACTGTGTTAGCCAGGATGGTCTCGATCTCCTGACCTCGTGATCTGCCCATCTCGGCCTCCCAAAGTACTGGGATTACAGGCGTGAACCACCGTGCCCGGCCTTTTTGTTGTTGTTGTTGTTGAGACTGGGTCTCCCTCTGTCACCCAGGCTGGAGTGCAGAAACATGATCATATCTTGTGGAAACCTTGAACTCCTGCCCTCAAATAATCCTCCTACCTCAGCCTCCCAAAGCACTGGGATTATAGGTGTGAGCCACTGCACCTGGCACCTCCTCCACGTTTATTATTTCCTTCTTCTCACTTTGTTTTGCTTTATTTTATTTTACTAGCTTCTTAAGTCACCATCTTATTTTTTCCAGTCCTTTTAAATAAAAGCCTTAGCTTTAATTAAGTGTATTTTTAGTCCTATTCCACACATTTTGATGCATTATATTCTCATTGTTAATTTTTAAATAGTCCATAGTTTTAGTATTGGTTTTCTTGACCCAAGGATTATTTAGAAGGATCATATCTTAATTTCTAAGTGATTAGATGGAGGTGGGAGCAGTAACCATCTTGTGTTAATTTTCAAGGCTACTATACTATTATATGTGGCCAATACACGTCTATTTTTTGTTAACTGAACATCTTCTTTGTAGTTGAGTATTTAATCAATTTTTGTAAATGCTCCATGGTCTTTTAAAAAAATTGTGTGGATGTCCTAGTTGTTGGGTTAAGTCAATAATGATAATGATGCTATTCAAACATTCTGTTCCTATTTATTTTGTCTACTTGATGAAATACTGAAAACATTTTGTTAGTCTCCCACGATCATGATGAAAAACTTCATTTGTATTTTAAACTTTTTTATTTTATTTATATGTATTTTGTGTGTGTGACACACAGTCTCACTCCATTACCTAAGGTGGAACGCAGTGGTGCAATCTCAGCTCACTGCAACCTCCGCCTCCTGGGTTCAGGCGATTCTTGAGCCTCAGCCTCCCAAGTAGCTGGAATTAAAGGCACGCAACACCAAGCCTGGCTAATTTTTGTATTTTTAGTAGAGTCGGGTTTTGCATGTTGGCTATGCTGGTCTCGAACTTCTGACCTCAAGGGATCCACCCACCTTGGCCTCCCAAAATGCTGGGATTACAGGCGTGAGCCATCATGCCTGGCCTGTATTTTTATTTGTATTTTTAACAGATTTTTCAGTGCTAGGATACTCAGTGCATAAAGGTTCATTAATGTTAAATCCTCTTGTTGGATTTGTATTTCTTATTCTATGTCTCATTTAGTATTTTTTTTTACATTCTATCCTACATTTATAAATATTAACATTACTGTCCTGATTTTTGTTTTGTTAGCATTCACTAATCTATCCCCTCTTTTCATCCTTTCTGTGTTATTTTGCTATACATATGGCTCCTAAATACGGTATATAGCTAGATTATTTTTTTTAACAATCTGAGAGTTACTGATTTTTATTAGAATTTAACCTAGTCACATTTATTTTTGTTTACCTTATTCCTCCAATTTTATCATGTGTTTGGTTATATTATTTTCTTCCGGTCTTTCCCCTCTTTTCTTGACTTCTTCTGACTGATCATGCTCTTAATTAGTATAGTACCCTCCACCCCAGCTGTGTATGTGTTTTAATATGTAATGGTTTAGAAATCCTATTTAATACTTTTTTAAAGAGATCAAATACATGTGATCCTTCTTCATAAACATCAGAGAACTACACAGTAGGACTCTATTAATAGGTAAAGTCATTCTGTTGTTTGGGGAAATGTAGTGGTAGGTTCATGTTAATAACAATAATTATATAAGGGCGTTTAATATTACATAGGCATCAGAAATCTTTCTAAAAGGGTACGCTGTCAGGTATCCATATACACTCCCCACCCCCTCCCTATATGGAGGACTAGCTACAGCTTTCACAAATAATGTGGGTAAGTGTGGGGTAGAGGCAGCAAGAAACCCACTGGCTGTGACGTAACCAAAAACATCCTGGGGACTGTTTCAGAAAATTTTGGACTCTGAGACATGCAGGCAATCTGTGGATCTACAGATGTATCTGTAGAAGACAGCCTGTCAGGGTGGGTTTCCTACCACCTCATTTCCGGTCACTAAAAGCCATCATAACTAAGGAATCTGTTCTAGATTAGGTGATGTCACAAAAAATGTAAACATTATTGCTAAAGAGTTGAGGAACTCAATTGAGAAAATAATGTTGCTAGACCTGAGTTGCTAGCCTCAGAATGGCTAGAATTCTGAGTTTCCTAATGTCTAATTCAGAAGGCACAGTAATAAATGAGAATTCACAATCTTTTTTTCTCCTCTTTTAAAAAATGAAGTAGTTTTCAATTTTTAAAGCTTTGATATCACTGGAAGGGCATGAGGGAAATAGGGAAATTTTGGCCATAAAATACAAGTATTGTTTGTGTGGTTTTTTATATGTGTATGTGTTTGAATGAAAGTTAACATTAAAATTCCTTATTTGATTTTTCATAGAGAAGCCTAGAGTAGAGAGGGGAAGGAATAGAGATAAAGGTATAGCAAGTAAGACCTGTCAATCACTCGATTTACTGAAATGAAATCTTGGTTTGGACCACGAGAAAATGTGGTAAAATACCTTAAAAGAGTGTTTCTGTTTAACAGTACATTTTTAAAGAAATCAATTTAGCCTAAACAACCCTTTGAGTTAACTATTATATGTAATCATCATTATATTACAAATGGGGAGATTAAGGTTCCAAGAATCGAAGAGATTTGCTCAAGTAAGTAAACAAGTGATATAACTGGAATTTGAACCCGTTTCTGACTATAAGTCAAGTGTCATTTCCAGTACATACCATAACTGCCTTCTTGTTGTCCTATCTCTGAGAAAAATTTAAACCCATGCACACCACATGTGAGTTGTGCAGCAGGTAATTGTGGCAAGGCATGGTCTGTGCTTTACAAT